TCTGGAAACCTCTTCCCTTCGCTCCTGGAAGGGTTGTCGCGTGTCCTTAGAAAGACGTCGCCTTGAAATGTGCTTGTTCTTGCATCATCCTCCTCCTCCCGTCTTTTCCTGTGCCAGTGCAAGTTATATCCTTGCTGACGTGGTTAAATTACGTGAAAAAAAAGATGCGGTTTTAATATCAGAAATGCAGCTGTAGTAAGGAGCTGTTGCTTTTAAATGTTTTGCTGTTTTAAAGTACATGTCTTGGTATTTTGAAGTTTGTGTGTAAGAGGCACCCAAGGCATGAAAAATGTAACGTGGGGCTGAGGACATAACAAATGTGTGAGGACATTTACATAATCCTCTCAGAGAAGTTCGATAGAGGAAAGAAGCTGTGTAGTTGCCTTATGTTTTTACATGCTTTTTTGTTTTGTATTTTTTTCTTGACGGTACTGCTTATGATTTGAGTCCTGAATATCAATATGCATTTTTTGGTTGCACAAGCTTCCTTAATTATTTAAGAACCCAACTAGTATTGTGATGCTCTTACTTGATTTTTCAGACTTATGCTTTACAGTAACTAGATCTGCCCATAGTTTTTCTGACTGCACGTTCAGTGGAAAAATTGAACAGCAGCCAAAGACTCTTGGTGCAACTGCAAAATGAATGTTATGCTTTTAACTTGCACCTTATGTTACAGTGCAATATATGGACATAGATGGGTGCCTCTGTGTGGTCACATACTTTAAAAAAAAAGCACCACATTTTAATCAGTTTCTCCTCTGTCGTTTGATGTCATAAATGGGCTTTGGTCCGTGGCAGTGAGTTTTAATTCATTCACTTAATTTCTGACTCTTAGTGGTTCAGTTTCTTTTCCCACAGTTTAACATGTGCTAATGTCACTAACAAAGGTGTAGTTAAAACTTAGAGGTGTGTTGTGTTGTCCTCCTCCAATGCCAGTGAACTACTAACTTCCATGAGAGCATTTGGGAATAGAACAGTAAGTATGAATAAGCATTTCAGTAAGTTTGGCCATTACAGTCTGCTTGGAGAGAAATTGGATGGTTAAGTCAGAGTCCGGAATTTGAAAATTAGTTAAAAGTTAGTTAATAGCATTTCTGCCAGTGTTAGAATGAGCAATACCATTTCTTCCTAATATGGTCAGAATTTGATTAATTTGAGCTAAAAGTGTCTTGATTTGTCCATATGTTTAATAAACTTCTATAAAAACTGAAAATAAGCCACCCCAAAGAGTAACAAGAGAACACAGGTTGCTTTTCTTTTAATGTTGCTACCTTTAGTTTGAACACGTCTAAATTCTGATATATTGCTTTAAAGATCCTTTTCAGGAGCTTTAAACCAAAACGATAAAGCAATAGCTATTCTGGCAGAGAGTACTTCTCGAAGGAGTTGTTCAGTGTTGCACTTTTATTTCCTTTTCTAGGTTCCTGTTCTTCAAACGAACAATGGTCCTGGGCTGACAGGATTAATGACCATAGCTGCCCACCTAGTTAAACAGGCTAAGAAAGACCAGCTCCTTGGAAGTACTGCAGAAGAGAAAGCTGTTGTTCAGCAGTGGTTGGAGTATAGAGTCACTCGAGTAGATGGAGGCTCTAGTAAAGAAGATACCAGAATAATTCTGAAGGTAAGGAGCACTTAACTACCTTACCACTGAATTTTGGAGTGACTGGACCTTGAAGAAGATTGCAGTGCTAATGTATATGTATGAACAACCGATTAATAAAACTGAGCAAACTGAAGACCTGACAGTATCTTTAAGCACTGGCTTTTATTCTGCTCACTGCTTTTCACTTTTGTTGACAAAAATACCCCAGCAGCCTGCAACAGGAGGGAAAACGGCTTAAACTGTAAAATACACAAAGTAGAGCTCTTACAGTATTTTACGGTCATAATGCTGTAAAAGACCCAGGGTTTTCCAGGTAGTTTAAAGATTATTTAGCTGCTTAGTCTCTTATTAGCTATGCAAGATGCCAGTTTCTTACTGTCTTCATAAAACTTCGATTATAAACAAGTTGGCGTTTGTCACGGGTTAAGGCTAGGGCGGCCACTAATGCAGACAGAAGCTCTCTAACCCCCTCTTCCCCCCTCCAGACGTGAAGGAAAAGGGAATGAGGCAGAGAGACTTACAGGTTAGAGAAGACTAACTAGAACAGCTTTAATGAAATAATGGAAATAATAGTGAAATGATAAAAATAAAGGACTATGTACAACTGTAGATAGTAGCCTGATACCAAACCTGACGCCCTCTCCCGATATCAATCCCCACTGGTGCTGCAGAGCAGGAGGCACTGGGGCAGCCCCAGGCTCAGCGGCAGCAGGAGCTGGATACAGGAGCTGGATTCGGGAACTCAGGATCCAGATCAAAACCAGGAGGTCGGATGGAGTCCTCTCTGGACACCGGCCATTGCAGAAAAGGGCAGAAACTCTCATGGTCACTCAATTTATACTAAACATGACGTATATGGGATGGAATACTCTCGCTGGTCACCTGTCCTGTCTATTAACCCCCTGGAGGTGCAACCTTTTACTTCCTTGTGACCCCTCTTGCTACCCAGCACCCCCAGCGTGGCACACAAGAGCCAGCAGTGGCCTTGGTCACTGTAGGAATAAGTATAAGCAAGAGCCTTTCTGTATCCCAGTCCCAGGCAGTGACTGCAAACATCAGGTGTTACCACTGCCAGTAGCACACACTGTCTGCACAAACACGCTGCCAACTTCAGAAAGTGCAGCCTTTTAGAAGAGACTAAACTGGAAAGCAAAAATCACTAAACACAACTGGGTTTTTAGCTAAACCCAGGACAGCGTTGTATTGCAAGGTAACTGCTCTGATTGACTGATTCTTACTGATTTGGTAATTATGGAATACATGCTGTACTTAATGTTGCAGTAATTGGCATTGATACCAAAAGGAGTTACTGCATGGAATTGTGTGTGAGAAGTGAAATCATAAAGGAACTGCTGCACAACTATCTTTCACATGGAGCTACTTTGTATGGAGGCTTTAGTCTACTCTAGTAAACTTTTCTGGTAGTCTGAAGCTTGCTTGTTCTTAAAGAGGTGGAAGCAGAAAAGAGAATCTCCAGAGTCACCCTGTTATTTGAGCAGCCAGATGGCAGGGAGTAGATAGCAAAATTATCTTCCTTCTTACTCCTTGTGACTGTTAATTAGTATTTTTGCAGTCTTGTGGGAACAGAGCTTGAAGAGAAAATTTGCTTTACACTGTTAAGTGTTAAAGCCTCTCTTTACTAAATGTGTAGGAAACGGTTGTGAAATTCGGTCAATTTCTGAAGTGTTTATTTTTTCTAAATTTAAAAGTATGTTTTAGATGGAAAGTACATGATGCTCAGTGTTGGTAGTCAGTCTGGATTTAGAAATAGTGTTGCGAGCTGCAAGGTAGTAAGAAGGCTGGCTTTAAGGCTTGCAGAGTCTTAATACTTTTGACTTTTGTTAAGTATAGCAAGTCTGAGTCAACTAGCATAAGTGCAGAAACCAAAGATCAACTGAAACGTTGTGTTAATTAAAGTAAAAATCTTTCTTCTTAGAATGGTGCAAAGCAAAACCTTGTTAGTAATCTGTTGTCCTTTTCAAACTGATAGCCTCCTTGATGTTGAAGACTTAGAATTTTGTGACTCTCTTAGGAAGATCAATTTGGTGAAAACCCATTTCTCTCAGACCCCAGATAATCTGAATTGTCTTGATCTCATCTGTGGAATATCTTCCATTGGTTAAGCCTGAGTTGGTTTACTTTGCTTCTCTTTTTGTAACATCTCTGGCCTTATTTTCTCTGTTCAAATGCTATCAAAACCTGTGCAGTCATGGTTGTGCTAAAGATATCACATGAAAACTGTCTATTTTTGGGGATTTTCAGAACTAGATTGAAGGCAGAGCTGACAAGTCAGGGTTCAACTTGAGGTTCAGATGTTCTTCAAACAATTGGTACAACAAGGTGGCCTTCAGAGGCTCTGGTGTCTTAATTTTTTTAAGAAACTTCATGACAAATATTACATAACTTCCGTTATTTTCCAGACAAACTCTTGATGCCTTTTGTTCTCTCCCAAAGTGTGAGAAGACCGTATGACAACAAGTAACTAAGTTCTGTTTACCGTTTTTGCCCCTCACGTTAAAAAAAAACAAAAACAAAAACAAAAACCCCAAGTTTTCTGTGTTTTTATAATAACTGCATCTGCTCAGGATAACTTAAGTGATGGCACCTGCTTTGTCAGCGTGTATGCACCTGAGTATTTGCAGAATTGTATTTGAGCCTTAAACAAAGACGCAGAGCTATGACTGTTCCATGCTGAAGCTGGTATCTCTCTCCAGTTTTAGCCTTAGCAACACTGGCCGCGTGGGAAAGACAATGTACTGAAGCACAAATACACAGATAAATCAAGTGTTTATAAAGAAAGCAAAATTTCTTCACTGAGAAACAGCATCACTTGAGGGAGAATCTCTGCCTTTAAGTATATTCTAACAGATAATACTATTTTGAATTTCCCTATGGATTTTCTTTTTGTTTAGTAGATGTTGAATAGTCAGAATTTATTTTGACATGGGACTGCTGTGGAATTGTTCCAGCACTAATAATTTTGTAGTATACCAATTAAGCTTTTTTTTAAAAAAAAAATTTGTTCTCTTGCCACCATGATTAATCAGAAAAAGAGGCAGCCTCCCATTAAAGTATACTATGCCAAAAGGGAGTACGGATGAAAAAAAACCCTAAAATAGGAAGGCAAGTCTGAGGCTGTAGTTTTAAAACGTGTCTGGAATACACAATGGCAGTCTTGGGACAATTGCAGCCTAGAGCCACAATTTATAATAAGCTGTGCCAAAAACAGTTCAGTCACTTCTGCTCTAAACTTCGGGCTGCCCCTGCTTAATCTTTAACTGAGGTGATGTGATTCTGAAAAATATCAGTAACTAACTTGTTTTCTGTTTGTTAATTTGAACGGGAAGGGTTTTCTGTTGGCCTCAGGAAAATAGGTTCTTAATGACTAAAACTGTTACTTGGTATGAAGATAATCATGAAGCAGTGAAGCCATCTCAGCCTTTTTTTTTTAAAAAATTATTTTTATATTCATTCAGAGCAAATGCCACATTGTTCAGACCTGGCCAGTGCAGGAGCTCTTGGAGTTTTGTCCAACTTTGATTTGTGCTCATGTGCTGGACAGAAGTAATGGGAGCAGTATCTCTGGACTGTTCTTTAGCAGACAGGTAGAAGTGATGACTGTTAGCAGTGGTGATAATGTAATATCCAGTGCATTATGTTTCCTTTCCACAGCATGAGAGAGCATTTTTATTTGCTTTTTTTGCTACTTAGTGTTAAGTCAAGCTGCATAGGAGAAAAAAAATATGAAAAATTACTGAGTTGTGCTTGGTAACCAGTAGTTTTTTAGACTTCTGGGAAGGAATTGAAAACCTTTGTGAAACACTGGTACTGTCAAATGTCTACTCGCCTGTTAATGAATTCCATTCATAAAACCATAGACTAGTTTCAGCTGGAAGAGACCTTGAAGATCATCAAGTCCAGCACTTGTCCCAGCCCTATCAACCCACTAAACTATGTGCCCCAATGCAACATCCACTCGTCTCTTAAACACCTCCAGGGATGGTCGCTCAACCACCTCCCTGGGCAGCCTGTTCCAATGGCTGACAACCCTTTCAGTATAGAAATTCTTCCTAATATCTAACCTGAACCTCCCCTGGCACGATTTAAATCCATTTCCCCTCGTCCTGTCACTCTCCACTAGGGAGGACAGACCAGCTCCCACCTCTCTGTAACTTCCCTTTGGGTAGTTGTAGAGGGCGATGAGGTTTCACCTCAATCTCCTCTTCTCCAGGCTAAACAGCCCCAGATCACTCAGCCTTTCCTCATACGACTTGTGTTCTAAGCCCTTTACCAGGCTGGTAACACACCTCTGTACCCTCTCCAGCACCTCGAGGTCCCTCTTGTAGTGAGAGGCCCAAAACTGGACACAGCACTCGAGGTGCGGCCTCACCAAAGCCGAGCACAGGGGCATGATCACCTCCCTGCTCCTGCTGACAGCACCATTGCTGACCCAGGCCAGGACCATTCCTGATCCAGGCCAGGATGCCGTCGGCCTTCTTGTCCCCCTGGGCACCCTGCTGGCTCCTGTTCAGCTGACTGTCCACCAGCACCCCCAGGTCCCTCTCTGCCTGGCAGCTCTCCAGTCGCTCCTCCCCCAGCCTGTAGCGCTGCTGGGGGTTGTTGTGACCCAAGTGCAGGACCTGGCAATTGGCCTTATTGAAACTCATGTGATTGGCCTTGGCCCAGCAATCCAGCCTGTCCAGATCCCTCTGTAGAGCCTCCCTCCCCTCCAGCAGATCGACATGTCCACCCAGCTTGGTGTCATCTCCAAACTTACTGAGGGTGCACTCCATTCCCTCTTCCAAATGATTGATGAAGATGTTAAACAGGAGTGGCCCCAGTACTGAGCCTTGGGGGCCACCATTCGTGACTGGTCACCAGCTGGATTCGAGAGGTTTGAAGGTCTGCTTTGTCAATTTTAGGTATTCAAAACTTGAAAGTTCTTCTCCCTGCCTCCCATCTTCAAAGGCTTATTCTAGATAACTGGGAGCTTGTACTCACATTCACAGAAAAGCTTCCACAGAAATGTAGCAATCTGTAGTCTCCAAAGGGTAATTGTAACCAAGAATTTTTGTGTACTACTTTGTGTCTCATACAGAAAATGTTACATGATTTCAACTAGTCTTGTTCCAGTTTCCTGTGCTATCTGGCTGTAATCATGAAATCCAATTAGAAATCTGAATATGAGAGCATCAGTTCTTATTTAACGTGCTTGTTTGAAAAATTACTATTGCCACAAATATATAAGCAGGTTAGTCCATGCCATCAATCCACAGTTCTTATACTCTGTCTTTTGACAGACCTCTAAATGGGATGCCTGCTTGCTTTGGCAAGCTTGTCCAGCAAGCATTTTTTAAACTTTGACTTTCTGTATTCACTTCTCTCCCTTTTCTGCTAGCACCAGTGTGCTTATAGATATAAAAGAGTGAATCAACATTTGTTGATTATTCTGTCCTTTACAGGAAGCTCAAGATGTTGAATATATTCTTCCAGAACAGCTTTAGCTCATATTTTGCCAGTTAGACAGAAAAGTCTTGTGTTAGAAGTAAAAGTATGGCTATGTCATTCAGCTGTGCAGTTCTGCTTCTCTTGGTTATGGCTGCAGAATCCTTTTCTTGGCTTCTGCATTGTCAGAGGTTTTCCTGAGGCTTTTGAGAGTGCTCAGCTCTTTGTCTTTGCATGGTGCAATATAAAGGTATTTAGGGCATAAATGACCTCGAGAATATTGCTGACTGGAAGGACGTGCCTTGGCATGTAAGGGAGAAGTACGTGCACCAGCAGCGTGTGGTGTTGTGGAGAAAATACGCGAAGGAAAACTGGGGTGTGATGAGACCCACTGTAAGCTCTGGAGCTGTTGTGGGAAGCCGTTGTTGCTTACTGGAGCCGCCGTCTCAACTGGCGGTGACTGGAAGGGATTCAGTCACCTAAATGGATGACTTGGATTATAGACAGTTTGATTGCGTCCTTAAAAGCCAGTGTGTGCTGATGTGGGGTAGACAGAAGTGTGCTGTGGACGGGATGTGTTGTGCTGTCTACATCTGGGCTGTAAAATGGATTATTATTATTTTTTTCCCCGTAGAACAAGCAAATGAAAATCCATTGGTTAGTCCATAAATAATGCAACATCTCTTCTTTCCGTTCCTTTTTCTCCCTCATTTCCAAAAATGAAATTTGAATTGCTGCAGTTGTTCAGTGCATATGAGCGCATCAGACTGCAGTTATGCCTTAAATACCTGTCTGAAATTTGAGAAGGGGTTTCTTGAGGGATTGCAACAATAAGTTCACGTAGTTGAAGGCAGCTTCCAAGACTTATTTCAGCCATTTAATACTGGGGTTGTAGATACATAATCAATTCAAGTAGAGATGTTCGCTACATGAAAGACAATGATACAAATGACAGCTAATAGACCTGAATTTTCTGGATGTAATAGAAATTCAAATGTGGCTTTGTATTTGTATTTTCATTAATCTCTCCAGGACAGGCACACTAGTTCAGTTTAATACCATGGTCACTTAAGAAAGGTTGAATTTCAGGAATTTTAACACAGTTGGCTATTAGCCAATTAACATAATTTTATATGGAAAGTGTAACCCGTGAGGCAAGACGAACTAAATGTGCCTAGTGCATGTGGAAAAAATTGCACTGTGGTGTTTCTGGCTCAGGTCAACTTACAGAATGAAATCGGAATATCTGGCTAAGTTTCCTGGGAGGAAGGTACATATTAAAAATCAGAACTGTAAAGTAATGCTAATTTATTCAAAGCTAAGCCTTTTTTGTCAAATTCCATTTGCTCAATTAACAAACTTTGTAGAATTTGATGAATAAAAATAAGTAATTTTTCATGCTCTAATGGCTTACCTTGCCTTTAAAATGTTAAGGGTTTTATTTTTTTATTGCTCAACATTTTAGAGTATACATGCACAGTATATTCGAAGAACAAATTTATTCTTTATGAGCTATTAACCCATCCAACTGGGCAAACTATATCTGCATAAAAATAGCCTACTTCTTGAAGATATATAAAACTCTGGTGAAGAAATCTAAAATGTTGAGCAGGGAAATAACTGTGTTGATTGTACCTTCAGAGATAATGAGATTTTTGCTTTACAAAATCCTGATTCTCTAAGCCTAGACTAAGAAGAAATGGGGTGGGAGAGGGGGGTGATTTAATTTCACTGGTATTAGTTCTCATTATAATGCGCACTGAATTTCTCATTAATCAAAATGAAACCTGATGGTTGGAGAATCCATGTCAGAATAAATGAGTTGTTTGGGGTTTTTTTCCTAGTAAACAGATCCCTAGATTTTTTTCTTCTCCCAAAAGCTTTTTCTTCTTAACATTGCATTTGCTTCTGTGTTGTGTGTTGTAACGGTAGTTATATGTTTAAAGGAATTTGAGAGCTAACTGACATGAACAAAGCAGTAAACCCGTCTAAAGGAAAGAAGCAGCATAGCCAGGGGGAGATGACCTTACAGACTTTTAGCTATGCAGGGGTTAATATTTTTCCCTGATTTGCTCTAATGAAACAAATCAAAGCAGACATGAGGTTGTTTAAATATTACAAAAGTGCAGGAGTCCTGTCAAGAAGAGGTTATGAAAGAAGTAGTAAGGTGGTGTAATGGAGTCAAACTTGTCAAATTCAAATGCAAGAGCAAATGTCTTAAAGTCTCAGCATTTTAGTTTTGTGGTTTGGTTTTTTTTCTATGTATGCACTAGGATAACTTCATATCAGTAAAATTAGGGAACCACAAAAACTGCACTATGCTTAAGAGTAAAGGCAACTTTTAAAATGTTTGCTAATTATTGGCCCCCTTCTCTTTGCCATAGGCCTTTTTGGAAAAATAAGAGGTTATCTTAAATGGAACAGGCTGTAATTGAGACTTAAAATGTCCCTGAATCAAAGCGTTAGTTATGTTTAAGCTGTTTACCTCTGTTTCTAGGCTGAGAAGTAGGAGACAGAAAGGTGCACAGATTGGGTGCGATGGTTAAATGTGCATAAAAGGAAGGACAGGTGAAGAGGTAGAGCAGGTGTGTGGTGCCTGTGATACACCTGACTAAGGAGTCTGCCAGCCTCCTGTTTTTGGGCAGGGAATGACTCTGCATACAAAAAGCCATAGAAAGGGTTTTTCACCAATACAGATTTGAAATATTTATTCACAGAACCTCAGTGGAAGCCTTCTGTTACCCAGCCTTAGAGCCTCTCATGTGGAATTGTTGCGAGAGCATTTCAAAGTGTTGAAGCAGCGCTCTCTTCATCAGGACTTAGATAGCGACTGAATTGTCAGAGCAGTCATTAAGAATTGTTAGCAGGGATTTCAACAGTGATAAAAGCAGATGCCAAGCCCTATCAGTGGATGCGCATCAAGTTTCTAGCACTGAGCTTGAAACACGTTATTTGTTTCCCACCTCACTATCCCTGTATGTTTGCCTGGTTCTCGCCCATCTGTGGTTCCAGAACCTTGCTGACCAGCTGCACTGTGGGAGTCCTGGAGGGCAGAAGAAGCTGCTGCTGGAAGAGCAACGTGCTCTCCTCTGAGCACAGGAATGCTTTTTTCTCACTTGCCAAATGTAAACTGTCTCACAGCGATGCTTCTGCGTCAAATGCGTTAATAAAAAATAACACCAACTACTGCGTTTTTGAATTCCAGTAATATAAACCCAAAAAACCAAGACAGATTTGAAAGTATTTTTGTGGAGTCAGCTTAATATGTAAAATAAATCACATCAGTGTTTACAAAAATTTAAGTGCATGTGAGTGGGGAAATTATGAAAAATTATGTGCCAGCAGCAAGCTTGCTAGCACTGTGTTCGTAGACCAACATTTAAATTTTACAGAATTCTTGCTATCAAAGAATGATATTTTAATTATCTCAACATTTTTTAGATTTTTTTTCTTCTTTTAATATTTTTCTTCTTTGCTGAGTTAGGATAAATTAAACTTAGTATTTAGTTTGTATGCAGGTCCTCCAGAGGAAGTTTTCTATTATTGTAAACAGTTGCCTTAGTATTTTGTCAATAGTACAGCATTATAATGGCTTTTTCCTTTTTAGGATCTTAATATGCACCTTGAAGATAAAGTCTACCTTGCTGGAAACGTTTTTACCTTAGCAGATATTTTGATGTACTATGGATTACATCATGTCATGGTAAGTGTTATTTGCGTTATTTTTATATGTACACCTATTCTAATTGTTGTTTATCTAAAGGGCAGTTTATTGCTGTAGAAGTTGACTTATTGACTTGATCAATGACAATTACAGAGCAAATTTTTTTTGTAAGAACTTCAAATAAAACTTTTTTATTTTAAAAAGTAATATTTAGTTCTTGATGTGTTGAAAGAAGTGTATTGTGTGTAGTGTGCAGCATGCTTTAGTTTCTTCTGTGTAATATAGCACAGGCGATACCTGTCCCTGTGTTTATAGGTATGAGGATTTTATGTTCAAGTCAGAAGCACGACTGCTTGCAGAACTACGTGGAGAAATGGATAAATGAAACTGAAAGGATGTGTCAGAACTGAAAGTACTAACCTTGTTAGTATTGGAGAAATTAAATTTCCAAAGGGTAAATGCATATAAAAGTGGGAGCCATGACAAAATGTCATTTGTGTTTCAAGACGTAATGAGACTCAATAACATACAGAATTTGAAAATAACATTGTAAGCTGGTGCTTAGGATTAAAAAAAACACATTGCGCTGAGCGAAGAAGACGTTGAGATTTTCATAGTGAGCTCAGGGTTTACTATGAAGTGCCTATAAATCGTTGCACCTCAGTTCTGAACCCCAAATGGTAATCTAAAGATGAAGCTGTACAAGAAGCTGTTTGTATTTTAGTGGCTGGAATGTGATTGTAAATGAGCCCTCCTTCTCTGGAGTGGCTACTATTAAACAAACCAAAGGACTTCTACAAAAAAAAGTCTGTTAAATTCTTGGGAGAAGATAAAATCAGAGAGTTATAAGAAAGTTGAAGGGGAGGGGATTATCAGAAAAAGGTGCTGCTGTGTATCTGAGACGCAGTGAGTGCCATCACCAGGGTGAGTTGTTACTATACAATTAAAAGCAGGGCTCTGGGAGAGGAGTGCAAGAGTGATACACTTCAAAACAGAGGCTGAGGCTGGGGAGGAGAGAAAAAGTAATGAAAGACTACGAAAAATGAGAATTTAGGTATATGTATCTTGACTGTCCAGGAGTAAAAGCTCAAATGAGAGAGTTTCAAGCAGAGGGAAGGGAAGCTTCATTTCAGAAGGCTTTTGAAAACATGTTAGAGTAAGTCACTTAGAATTAATTCTATTAAATCATATTTGCCTTGTAAAATACCTGAAGTAGTATGATAGATGTGTTGACTAGAGTGTCAGAATGTGTTGCCTTTCACATATGATCTGTAGATGTAGGAAAAATGTAGAAGTGGTTGCTAAAAATATGACTGTAAGAGAGTATGAGTTCAAAAGAGACTTTTTTCTTTTAAACACTTGTGCAGGAGAAAATCAAGCGTGTGTTAAATTTAGACTTTGCTCTAGAGTAGGCCACCTAATCAAGAAGAAAAGATACAAGTTATTGCTTTGGGAAATAGAACAGATGGTAAAAACAAATGACTTGGTGCTCCTGGGTACCTGCAACTATTCAGACACTACTTGGGACAAGTTTATGGTACAGCATCTGTTTCTGAAATGTTTGATTTCATAGAAGATAATTTTCTGAATTGGAAGGGTATAAAGGACAAATAATGGGGTGGCTATCCTAAATAAAGAGGAAAATCTAGAAGTTACTAGCCAGGAATTAACATGTATTTTGAAGGTTTTGGAATTGATTAATATTAATACTTAACTGTAACAATGAAATCTTGAACTGTAGAATCCTGTGATTGTTTTTTTTTTTTTGTTTGTTTGTTTTTTTTTCTGTGATCAGAAGAAAGTATGTCCAGGGCTGCTTCTCTGCCCTAAGCTTCAAGGCGGGCAGCAAGCAGCTGTATATCTTAACGTGATGTGGTCCAAGGAAGCAATATGTGATATCCCCCACTGTTTCAGCTAAGCCTTATGCAAACTATCAATAAACATTTCCTGTAATCCTTTGAGAGAGGAGGTAGAGTGGGTAGGGGGAGACACATGGTTCTTGCTGTCCATCAAACTGTCTAGAAAATAGAGCTGAAACTGGTACTGCTAGGATTAATCTCTCTGCTTTCATAGACTTAACAACTACATGTGAACACAGACATTACTGATAGAATGCTGTAAATATTAGTGACATACTGTGATTGTCCTGAATGAGCTGAGTATTAGTAAAATGTTAAAAACCTTCTGATGCATATTTCATTGGAAACAGTTTTTAAGACCACCAAATCCTATTGCTTACCTTGTAGTTTCATCTTCCTTTCTTAGTGTTTCTCAATATAGATCATACATTTTTGTATTTCTTCCTTCCTCCCACCTTCGTTTTGCCAGTCTCATTACCCAGGGCTGGGTCTGGAACCTCGTTCTTCACTGTCCAGGCTCATCTGTTTGAACTTTGTAATCAGTTTGTTTACTGAACAGCAGCAATTTTGCAGCTCTATGCTTTTCAGTCTTCCTTCTAGTTCTCTTAAGCAGTGTGTGTTTTAAAAAATCCATATTATGGGATAGGAGTTAGTATTTTAATGAGTGAGAGCCAGACTCAGGTAGTGTTTCAGGCTTCTTGCAGACTGAGTCTATTAATTAGAAATACACACTTGTAATAACAAGAGAGGAACTGAATTGTAAACTTTCTGCATCATAATATAGGTCACAAACAGCCAAAAAGTGGAGTGCTTAATACTGTCTAAATGAGCTGAGGTGATTTACATTGTCATATGTAATTCCACATCTCCATGTATCTAATACACCTGTTGTTGTCTTTAGACACCTTGATTACTTAAATACTCACAGATAAATATAATGAACAGTGAAGTTCTAGATTAAAGCATAGATTGCAGAGAAAAATGTGAATTTGGAAGCGTTGCTTGAGGATAGCTCAGGCAATCAGTAAGCATTAAATTCTCCCTGCAGTAATGAAGTTGCTTTCGTATCATTTTTTTATTTTAAATAAAAAAAAGTTTTCTTTATGTTTTTATTCTGAAGTATTTTCAAACAGCACAAGTCCAGTTCTGTCTGAGAAATAAGCAATATGAAAGATCGATCCTACTTTATACTTCAACAATTTTGTCAGAACTAAAGAAATAGTCTCAAATATATGTGTCTGATTGAAAATTTCTTTAATAAGGTCTAGAAAATAACTTACGGGTGAAATTTGTATGTGCAAATAGAAGAAGCCTCAGTCAAAATTTTGGGGTCAAATCAAGTGCAAAACAAAGAAAGTTGTTCTTAAGTCAGAACTACTAATACTGAACTACAATGAGTCTGCAACAGTAGTTTATTTTCCACTTAATTCTCTTCCATTATGAACATTTCCTGTGATAAACAGATTGTTGTTAATTTTTATTAATATTCACTGATATGCTGCTTATCTTAAGTATTGGGGTAGCAGGCCTTCTAAAGAGCGATGCTAGAAATGGTACTTCAACTGAATTACAAAAACAATTTTAGTTGAAAGAAAATATTTAATTTTAAGCACGTTCCTTTGACAGCAGAAAATCAGTCAAAAGTATGTAGAAGTATATGTATTTAATGAAGTACACCATTCAACTTTGTTTTGTTTTTTTCTCTTTCCTATCTAAAGGCTAAATGTCAAAAGCGAGATAGTATCTCATCCTTTTCTTGATGCTGAAGAACTTCAGATGTAGGCAGGCATTTTTAGACTTTCCATGCACATGCAGGATGTGGAAAATGGGAATTTCTGTCTGCATCCCCAATGCTGCTGAAAGCAAATATAATTAAAACTCGTGTATTTATATCCTGCTTAGAAGCTCTTGTAGTTGGACTGTATGATGACCACTTTGGTTACCCTTTGCGATGGAAGAATAAGACTTTTTTTTTTTTTTTGCATGACATAAAAAAAAAGCCTGTCAAATTGAGTGTCTGCTTCTTTGCTATTAAAATAATTGCTTTAATAGCAAATAATTATTTTAACAGCAGAACAGCAGCCTTTCTTAACTTGGGGGAATTATCTAATTTAATGAGGAAGAACAGAAAATACCCATCTAACAAAACGTTGTAAAAAATGCCGTGGAAGTGATCTCTAAACAATTAACCTAAGAGTTATGTTCCAAGTAAAAAGTAGAGCATGCCACAAAGTGCTTTTTAATATATTTCACTGATAGAGTACATTATGTAAATAAGTAAAAATATCTTGCTTGTTGTGCCTAGAGTACAAAAAGGGGGTTTGTTATTAGATTAGCTGTCTGGTTTGCCCTTCAGATGTTTTTTCACTGTGCTAACAGAATGGAGGAGGACTGTTTCTCCAGACTTTATTTTTGATATACATCAGAGAAGTACGAAGAATGAGAATTATCAGTATAAAATTAAGGGATGGAATTACTTCTGCTGCAAAATTTAGTTGAGTGTTTTCGTAACCAAGTGCTGACCTTTTTCCAAAGTCTTTAATGGGTATTGTAATTATAACTTCTAAGTGTACAGCCCTCACAGAACTTAGCTGACAGTATTTTTTAGGTGCTCATCCTTAAGTACTTCCAGTAGTTTTAGGTGGCCTCAGAACACACAGGTTGCTCTTTGTATGTTCTGTGTTGCTTTGTAAATGGTTCTACAGATTCATGCCAAGCACCAGCTTCCAACTACCATTAATTATTGCAAACTGCAGGTGATCAAAATCATCTTTCCAATCTTTCTTGAACATACTTTACTTACAGAGGCTCTGGCAATTTGTGAAGGAGTGTTACATTTTAATAGCTTCCACTTTTTTGTTTTAAGGGTTTTTAAAATTCTGGAGTTTTTCCCCTTATTGGTGTTACTCTGTTTCATTTAATGCCAAGGAACTCTGTGTTTTTAGGTCAGCAAAAATCAAAACACAGCCACAGATTATTTATCTGCGCACTTTTATCGGACCATACAGCTGTAGGAATAGTGTTCACATTTCTATGCTAGCTGCAGGAAAAGCAGATCTACTCATATGGCCTGAACTGGGGTTCATGACAGTTCAAAACTGCAAAAGTTGCAGTCGAAGAACGTGACCAGTGCTGTGGTTGTGTTCTGGCAGGTGAGTTGCGTAGGAAGAACAACTGCTTGGGTTTAGGAGCAGCTGCAAATCACTGCTTTTTGGTTGCTACTGCAGTTACTGTGCCCTTAATTTACTGTTAGGAGAGCTTTAATGCTGCGTGGTGTTGATTTAAATTCTGTCCTGCAACTTTCTGAAATTCTTCTTCCTCAGTATGTTTCCTTTGGTAAATATTCGAGTATGTATCCTTATTTTCCTTTTACCTCTATGGGTCTAAAGCTTTCCAGTTCTGAGCCAAGTGCTGGGCTGTGTGAGAGAATAGCAAGGATGTATAGTAATATAATAGTGTAGTAGTAAGAATAGTAAGCAAATGTTCTAGGCAGCATATGAAAAGGAAAAGGCTGGTGTGTCGCAAGGTGAAATTTAACATGGGAGCTTTGAAGGCCAGCTTTTCACTCGTACGGCTGAGTAAATGAGCATTTATAACTCTTGCTGTGATTTAAAGTTTGTTGGAATGTATTTGTTTTCAGCTGTCCTGTACTCAAGATGCAATTTGCAAGGAACCTGTGAAATGTGGTGTTTGTAGAGCAAGGCATAAGGAATATGCCACCTGTTTAGCTTTTGGAGAGGGGATTAACCTTGATTAGCTTTAGAAGTTTAAACGTGAAAAATATTTAGCATGTCTAGCTTGTGATTTGTCTGTTAAAACTATCCTCTACAGGTGTGCCCTTTTTCGTTGACTGCAGGTGTTGTCAGGATGACTAAGGAAGGCTTGATGGCTAACTTAGCTAACTGAAAATGAAGTGAGGTGAATCCCCCACTGATCGCCTTAAGGCTTGGTGAGATAAGAGAGGGCAGTTGATGTGAAGATCATGTTTTGTTCCTGATGCAGTTTTTGTAGTCTCTTTTGTGGATTTCCCCATTTGTAATTCAGTCGCAGTAGGTTAATGCAGGGAAACAGATTTTTGTCTGAGCTGATCAGTTAACTTAATTCAGAGGAATGAGGAGACCTAGAACTGCTAATCAAGGAATGGTAATACATGTGACACAAAATGAGAATAGTTCTTCTACTGCTGGTTTGAAAGACTGAAGTAATAAAAGACTTTGTAGTGAATTTTTGAGGATATTGTGGACTGGAACTTAGAATTCTGACTTGGACAGGTGTCGTTAAGATCTGCAATTGTAGCTGACTTTATGTGAGCCAGTCCTCTGGTTAAAGTAGAGATAGGCTTGAAGCTCTTCGTGAGCTGTTGCAGTGGCTGTTTAACAGCTGAGGGCTTCCTCCTGACTGATCTTGCAGCTGTTTAGATCTGCCTTAAAATAAGTAAGTGAGTGAGCTGTTGACTTGAGAAGTCTGGCAAGCAACAGCACCTCAAACTGTACAAGTGAGAGTATCTTAAATATGTTTAGGATCTATGGATGGGTTTCCAGTTTGTTTTACTGCAGTAATTTGAATTATGCCATTGCTATCTTAATAAAGTGAGCTAGCACATCTGAACAAGCTATGTTGTTTCTTAGTAACTATTGTTTTCCATTTTGAGCAGGAGTCACACAAATTTCAATTTTTCCATGCACTCTGCAATTGCTTGGGAGAAAAAAATATTCCTGTACTTATAATACACCTTGAAATACAAGGTAGTCACTTTGTGTGAGGCAAGACCGTGTGCTAGATTAATGTGAAAGACGTGTTGTGGAACTCTTCTCTGCACCCCCCAGTACTGAGTGCTAACCTCGTGAGTAGATAGATGCATTAAATTTAAGCAAGCTAATGCCATTTTTCCCCTGTCTGTCATAAAGAAATGTATAATTCACCCTCCAAGCCTGCTCATTTGAGTAAAATAAAAGTAAATACATAATCTAGGGTATAAATTTTAATATTCGAAGTTAAGGGAGAATACTGCTGGATTGTAACAACCTATGTGAGTTGAAATCAGCTGTAAAACTGTTGACTCATTTTATCTTAGCACATGTGAAGACATTAAGGATGCGGTGCCTTCTATTACTGGTACTTTGTGTTTCTTCCCCATGCAGGTGGACCTCACAGTGCAAGAAAAGGAGAAATACCTAAACGTGTCCCGTTGGTTCAACCACATTCAGCATTATCCGGGTGTCCGACAACATCTGCCTAATGTCGTCTTTATCAAGAACAGATTATACACTAATGTCCATTAAGGAAAATTTGAATGTCATGTTGGAAGGGTGTTTGGGAGTGTAGAATTTAAACGATCCCAAACGGCTAACTTGCAAATAGTGGTTTGTAAACCCTCTGTATGTGAACCAAAACTGCTGATGCCTCAAATACAATTGCATTGAATTGCTATTGGTCGTTCGAGAGTATGGACTAGTTAAAGAATTATGGCATGTATCTGATTAAATGCAACAAGGGGAGAAAGATGGAAATTGAGTTTTAATTCACTATTTTTTAAAAATGCAACGTTCTTTCAATTAAACATCAAAGTGTAATTACGTGGTCTTTGTAGGAAAGAAGTGCTTATTTTCCTTCAATTATTCACTCCTTGTACTATTTATTGAAATTTTTACATACGTCCCGCTTTCTTTTCATTTTATTTTCCATGGATGTTTACACTAGTTTTGTAAAAGTCAAGAGCTATATTGTGTGCCAAGGATATGAAAAGGGGAACACGCAAATGTTACAAAGTATTTATGTGACTGAATAAATTATTTTAAGACTGTAGTCTTAATTTGGTTGTGAAATTTCTTAGTTTTTCTTAGGCAAAGAAAATATTTTTTTAAAGATTAGTTCATCTAGTACTACATTTTGTTGTATATGGGTTTTGTTAAATTCTGGAAGCCTTTTCTTTCAAACTGGGTAACAAAGCTAGTGTTTTTCAAGGTAAAAAATGAGCAAAAAACAACCACTAAAACAAAACCACAACCAAAGCAACAAAATAATGTCTCAGCTTAAGACAGTAATGAGCTAGTCTATCGTGTTCACTCTCAGTGTTTTGAAGTTTGTTTTGAAACCAAAGACACTATAGTTGTATCGAACGTTTGGATAGGTCGTTTCACTGTAAAATTTTTATTTTTAACAAATTTAAAAGTGCTAATGCAGTGCCCTGAGCATACATCTGAATTAGGTGATTATCTTCTGCACAATTTGGTTAACATTAATTTTAAAATACTGGAAGGAACAGAAACATTTTGGTGTTTTAATTGATAAACTTTTATGTTGTTTTCTACAACAATGTTCAGCAGACAACTTCATAGTTTTACATGATTTTCTTTTCACTTGTGTGCTACTTGAGGAGCCAGCAAGGTAGACAGAAAGCTGTCTTGGATAGCTCTTGGAGCGTTTTGAACGTTACAAGGCCTAGAGAGAAAGAAACAGGTTGATAATGACATGAGGTAATCTTAACACATAAAAGAACAGAAGAAAATTGCATGAGCTTAACTTGGGCAATTGCAGGTGTTTTCTCTATATGCATAATTTTTTAGAGGGCTTACAGGCACACAGTACTACTTTTCGGTAGTAAAAAAATGAAAATACTCTTGTTCAATTTGAAAAAGGTCTCATTGTTTCCCAAGAGACTTCATTTTTTCAGCTCCTACTGTTTTTCCTGTTACTCTTGTTCCTTGCTATTTCGAAGCAAGCATTAAGTACTGAACCACAAAGATTTCTGAGATTTGTTCATGAATTGTGAAGCAGGCTTTAGTGCAAACGTACATTAGAAACTCCATGCTCCAAATTTTTCATATTTGACTACCTGAGGGCTTCAGTTTTTTGCTGTTGGTACTTGCACTCTTAATTCCTACTTTATTCAAACATTTGTTCGAATGCCTGGTAGTAGGTATGAAAGTGAGGTTGCTTTTTTTTTTTTCCCCCTTCTACTTATGGCTGGGAGCAACTGGTGATAAGACATAGAAAAATACCTGCACTTCTGCTACGTTCTACTATAATGAACCATTTCCTGGTTCTGAAGGGGAACAGGAGTGGAAATTATCAGTGCATTTGGCCAGGGTTTGGGAAAGCCTCATTTATCTTACAGATTGAGTGTTTTCACATATTCTCTTGCGAGTGAGAACGATTTAGGTTTTGTCAAGTGTACGTGCAAGCCTTCATTCATGCAAATACCAGCTTACGTTACAGTTAACAACACTGAAATGGAAGCAGCTAAAATTATTGCTGAAAACAATACTGTCCTCTTTCAAGACAAGTTTTGTAAGGATGGTGTTATAAAGTGTGGTTTTTTTGTTTTAAACTCAAACAGCTGCTGTTTCCAAGTGTCAGGATTTCTCAAGGTGGCTACATGCTCCTGCCGCAGAATCTCCTAGCCTCTTGTGCCAGTTTTATTTTCTTCTGTGTAGAACAGACGTGTTACTTGCTGCTGAAATGCAAAAAAAAAAAAAAAAAAAGTTCAGCTGACAGAAAAACGAAATGTTTAGAAATGGTTTAGTAAAAATTTAACTCTGTGCTATCTAAAAGGCTTTTGGTCATTATCACGTGCTAACTTGAGCATTTCAATTTTCTCTCCCCTGCATGGAGAAACTTAAGGAGGGAGGGGGTTAAAATCAAGGGCAGCTGAATTGTGACTTTGCCTTGAGAGACATGACTGGGAAAACCAGATGGTATTGATTTCCTCCCCTCTCCCCTTTTCTATCTAATACTTTTTGATCATCAAGGACATCTAAATCTGTAAAAGAACTTTTGAAAAATCATAAAAAATGTAGCTTCGTCTGTCTGAGATTGCATGAGGTATGTTTTTTTTATAATGACACTTCATATTATTTACAGATGAGGTGTAGTGTACATGAGCTTTCCAGTTAGCACTGATGGTCTGTGTAAAGGGTGTCAGTGGGTAAATGTTCTGCTGTTTCTAAAGCTACTGCTACTTGTCTTTCTGTTTCTTTAGTACTTTCACTGAACGCTAGTGAAAGTGACTTTCCTCCCTTGCCTACCCCCTTATACTTTCTTCAAATTTCAGTTGCTGAAGGGCACAGTAGATACTGTGAAGCTGTTTTACTTTTTTTGTTTCACAGTTTGATGATGATGATGATGACCACAGTGATGTGTGGAATTTATTTTCACAGCGTTTCATGAACAGCGACACTCTTATTTGTTAATGTATCTCATCATTGCAGTATTATTATTTTGCATAATTGTTCTATCTAATTTATTCAAGGGGCCTGACATGTTATGGTCTTTTAAGTATGTGCCTCTAGGACTTGAGGTTGTTGCCATATGGTGAGATGGGGCTGCCTGACAACCTTTCAGCGACTGAAGAATTCAGCAGTGGAACGAATACCGTCATTTGAAGTGTTCTTGCATTTACCATTTTGATTTGTCTTTTTGCCCTTGATGCCAAGATGACCGCTGCTTGCAGACAAGCCAGGCTGAAGCATGCGTTCCAAGTACTGCGTCGGATACATTAGAAGAGTGCTGACTGATAATTTTTAGTTGTCTTTATAGGTGTATATTCATTGTCAAGTGAGAGTTCAGTTTGACTTCAGAAGCCTCCAGGGGCAGTTCTTGTACTGGCAAGAACAACTGGGCGACAGTGATTTTTATAAAAATCCAGGTTTAATATGGCATTAGAGAAGAGTGAGTAAGAATGATAAATTGGAGAAGGTCTGTGGTACACTGAACAACAAAAAAGTAGTTCCAGTTCAGACCTGGGTACTAAGAAAATCTAGTTGTTCAGCTGGAACTGCAGGGTAGACATTTCAGCAGCAAAACTGTAAAGAATTTTGTTGTTACAGCTTCAAACGTGTAATGTGGTTTTTGTCGAGTTCCTTTTGTGTCATCAGTGAATTACCTACCAGGTTGACACCTCAGTTTTCCATGCAGAGAACAAGTTAGGAGATACCGCTCTGGTTAACAACTGAAACAGTCCCAGCAAGTTCTGTTGCCTTTCTTCACTGCCCACGCACAGTAAGTATTTGCTTCCAAAAGGTTTGCACCTGTTGAATTGCCAGAGATTCTTTGGGTAGGATGTGTAACATTTGGGCAGTCAAGTCTCCTAGCTAGCATCTCAGGTGTTTGATTCTTAAGAGGTGATTTTTCATTTATTTTTTTCTTTAAATCTTGTAATCCTTCTCTATAGCTTACCCTACCATCTTCAAAATACTTTTAAAATGAAGTAGCCCTTCTCCCAAGAATTTCTTACTATAGTCTGCATCTTTGGAAGAAGATAGGTGTAGAAACGGGGAACTTAACTTTTCTATAAAGTACTTGTGGCTCATTGGAGTACCTTAATAAAATATTTCTTCAATTTCACTTCAATTTGTATTCTCACATACACATATTTTTTTCAGTCATAGCTGATGGAAGAATAATTTAAATTCTTGAGTGTGGGTGTGGATGCTGGGTTATTAGTAGGGAGCTGAGACTGTAACCAAGCTTTAAGATGGGTGTGAGTACTTGGCAATTCAGGTAAGACACTCATTTATTTTAACTATTTGATATGAAAATGTGACTTGGAAGTATTAACATGGTTTTGTTCATAAAATAAAATACACCCAAGTAACATTACAGATTAAGAGAGCTGTAGAACTTGAGCATCTTCATTCTTCTCTTGTTTGAAAACCAATAGATGATCAAAGCTCTGCTCCTTAGTGCTGTAGGCTTGGAAGAGATGAGGACAAAGTACTTAAAAAGAGATTAGCTGAGAGATGAAAATGAGTAGCTACAACTGTAGAATCATTCTCAAGTAATCCAGTGTAAGCTTCTCTATTCAGAGATCCGGTTCATATTCCTGATCTGCTAGTGTCTTCTCTTTGCATCTCTGCAGGTGATTTGTGGTTTGTCTGCTATGTGAATACTGAAGTTGGGAATGGAAACATGATTTTTCTCCAAGTAAATTTGCCTTGGTATGGCCATAAATTGATGTTATAATTGCATGTGTATATGGAACTTAGTGTGCAATTTTTTGTACCTCTTTTTTATGAGGTTTTTTGTTAGGAAGAGAGATCTGTAGGCGTATTAGATGTTTATTTTTTTCCTTTTGGTTTTCAATCTTATCGCTTCTTTTCATCTTTGATGTGTTTCATGGTCTTTAACTTCAAAGTCTAATTGCAATAATGCAGCTGCTTAAATGGATTAATACATTTAGTATTTTCCCCCTAAGAGCAGTATTTCTTTGCATCTAATTGTATCATGCTGCTGCTGTCCCTAATGGAAACTCCGGGTTTCCTACTGACTGTACACTTGGGCA